TGCGACGCAGATGTGCGTTAAATTCAGTTACTTAGCAGATTGAACCGTCAGGAAATGAAAATTCGTAGCAACGGTTTAGAGAACGTTTGATCGGAAAACGACCGAGACGATAAACTGCATGGAAAAGCAGCGGGGAATTTTATTTCTGATCGTTTCTCACACATACTTCTTTTAAATCAAGCCGATGTGCGTGCCGTCGAAATTCGCGGATTAAATTCTGCTCTTCACCGACATTTCAATATTTTTTAGTATTTTTTTTTTAAACATATATATTTTGTGAACTCGTAATCATTTTTTAATTATACTTGTTGTTTTAATTATACTATGTACTTATTTTCATCGACGTCATTGTCTTATCTCTTGATCTTGTTGCGCGATATGCAGATATCACTCCTCAATTTCGACTATCTCCGAGTGACATTATCCCGCCGTCGTTGTCCGCTGGCAAAGGACATTGATTAGACGGATGTAGGGCGTCTACTTTCACCAAGCATGAATTATCGAATTAGCAGTGCGGCCTAATTAGAATGTCCGTCTAATTAGCTGTCGTTGCGCGCGTCGCGTTACCGTGTAAACATTCGAACGCGCCTGCGTAACGAACGAAGCGTGTCGCAACGATTAACGGCCTCGAATTGAATTTCGTCCTATCGCAAGCGGCCACCACGGAAGGAACACAGGGCTGAACTATCACGATGGCGAGACAGAGCATTGGGAATAATTAGAGAGATCGCGTAAACGTATCTCGACAGGGAGGTTACCGCGCGCGTGTATCGATGACGTAACAACGGAAGCAATTCCACGGTTGGCGAGCCGTATAGTGTTCTAAGGTGAGTCAACTAACTGAGGCAGGAAACGCAGCATCTGCTCGAAGGGAAATCCTAGATTTCCCCGGAGGACTTCTTCGGGAAACACCGATGGCTGACCGATGTCGTGCGCGAGCCTCTTCTATCTTTCATCATCGTTTGCTTTCATGTCGCAGTCGCATACTACATCCAATACTCGAATTCAATTTGGATCCATATCCGTGTCGATGGTCCGCGCTCGCCGCTTGACTATGATCACAGACGGAGTGACTTGTCTTCAAAGAACGAATCTTGACATAAGTACGCAATTGGATGTTTGCGGGTGTGTTCAAAGAGTAGAGCTAATTCAACGAATCAATATACACACTCAAGAAGATTAAAAATGGACTTTTGATCGAAACAAATATGACATAAAAAAATAAATAAATAAAATAAAGTAAAAATATACATAACAAAATTTTTTAAAACCATCGAATCTGAGGCGTAGCGTTTGTCGAAACTGCGAAAGTGAGAGTACGACTCTGTTCGAAATGAAACGCATGTAGAAGAAGAGGGATATTTGAGAGCTTATTTGCCGCTCGTTAAATTTCTCCCTGTAGATTCGAATTACGTGGCACATCAAAGCTCGAGTGGGTACTGGAAGTGAAATCAACGTTACCGGAGTTTTCAGTAAATACAGTAAGCTCGCGTCAGTTCTCTGTGTCCGCTGTCTCAATATTGAAGGATCGGGGAGCTCTTACTACAACCTCACTGAAGGACTGTTGCGAAATGCTTAGGAGGAAATTGTCGAGGATGCTATGTTGTTTCGTCGCAGCTATCATGCACGGGCGCACTTACGGCTAGTCATGTAACATGTTTCCTCGCGTAAATGTGAGATGTGTATTGGCGGAGACACACTCCCCTTTCAATGTGTGTCCTCTAATGTTTGCGTACACACATTTTGCATTAAAAAGTCAGAAATAAACTTCGGAATAGATTAATGAATAAATTACTTACTAAGTTAACTTTATTAAAAAACACGGTAGTGCCTCTTATACGCGAAATTCATGCAATTGAGAAGTAAGGAGATTTTCATGGAGCAATATCTCAAGAACGACTGAACCAATCAATTTCGTTTTAGTCTCAATTGCTTCATAACAAAACATTTTAAAAAAATTATTTTTGCGTTTTTTGTTTGTGCTTCTGATTTGGAGATAGGCGATAAAGTTTCGAAATAAGAAATTTACGTTTTCAAAAACTTCATTATTGTCGTCGTCGTGCGACCAAACTGTGTGCACGTTTGTGTGCATGGTTGCTAACAGATGACATACATATACGAGTGCGTTGAAAGAAGAAAAAAGAAAGAAAGATGAGAAGTGTGGGTTAGAGACAAAAAAAGAGAATTATCAAGAAACACGATAAACGGTAGTGCTTCGCGTCGGCGTTGTTTCGCGCCGGCAACACTCCAGACAATACCTATCGCTCCGACAAATGTTCGTTGTGGCGAATACTGTGACATTTCAATCCGGTTTGTCAAAGACACGTGACTAAAGTACAGTTACGTGATGTTTTTTCTCTCCTTTTCACGTGACCATACTTTACTCACGTTTTTAAAGACACGTGACTAAATTAAAGTCACGTGACTTTAGTCACGTGTTGTTTTTCCACTCCTCTCTTTTACTATTTTTTGAGTTTGATTTTCATGCGTTATGTCTGACATTTCTCATATGTGTATTATATGGTTTGTAAGACGACCATGTTTTTATCAAAGTATCATTTTTTTAGAAAAATTTTGCAACATATAACATGTAACGACAACCAAGACTAATTAATAGTATTTTTTTGTACTTAGTGATAAAATTAGGCATTAATCGTGCATTTATTAAAAGTATAATTTTTCTTGTTTTTTTTTGACAAATAAGTAACTAGTGTTAATAACACAGCGTGCTTTTAACACGCGCTATTTTTTAGAGTTTTAAAACAACAAAACCGACTATATGTAACTTAGCAGATATCGTACAGCTCGTATTTCCAAATACTTGCTATATATATATATAAAGGATAAATAATTTATCTCCATTTCTTGATGCGTGAATGGAAGCACGAGAAGTAGATTTGAGTATTTAAATGGTAACTGCGCTATTTTGTGAAAGATAATATTTACTTACATATACTAGAATACGTTATTTTTATTGTAAATAACATATAAGACATAATTGCAAACAACTATTTTTCTGTGACATTCATGTGATAATCTGAATGTAGAATTGACAAAAGAACAGCAACACAATGAAGCGAGGATATCGAGATCGTCGAAACCGAAGGAAATGTTCGAGGAACTATCTCCGTTACCTTGAGTTGGCGATCGCATAGTGCACTCTCATGTCACGCCGCCGCGTTCATAAATTGATTAGGACTTGCGCGAGAACCTGTAACTGAAAATTCTCATTCCAACAAAACTTCGCGTACACGAATGAAAATGAACAGATTTAGAAAATGAACACAGTTAGAAATGTTTCAATTGTCGCTGAAAAACTGTTGAATAAGATATTTGTATTATTTATGCATCTATATATACGTATAACATATACACTTCTTAATTATGTTAGGAAATTTTCATTATAGAAAAAAAATAACACTATTAATCTATGGTTTTCAACCAACTGATTACGCATTTGCGCTATATTTTTCCTTGTTGTTTTCTTGTATTCTCTAATCAAAAGATCAAGAGAATAATCAAGAGATTATCGCACATATATTAATTATATATTACATGCAACAATATTTATGTACATTAATTGTATATAAATAAAAGTAACCTTGTTTATCGATATGATGAAATGTTTTATCATACAACGCATTACATTAAAAGTTTTTTCCTTGACATACTGCAGCAAGCTAATTGTGACAAAAAAGAAATACAGTTCGATAACAGCATATCGCGTCTTAAGTATAAATACAATATTTGAAATATTGAAAGTTTTACATGTGTGTTCAAAGATTTGAAATTATTCAGCCGCTAAAACAATATTTATTCAGACGAGAGATTCGCGAGAGCTTATATACTACAATAAAACTCCAAGTATTACAATTTCGACTTCTCTTTTATGGACAGGAAGCCAATAGATTTCCCCACTAATGATGATTTTCCGATTCTACAAGTGACTGCGCAACTCATAGAATGCGCATCTATTCTCACTTTAACTGCCGATTTTTTCATATCTCCCGATATCTATCTTCTGGATAAAGATATACAAAAAGATTAAGTATATCTTTTAGATAAAGTTATCGAGAACTTATCTAGAAGGAAAAAAATTAGACTTAAAAGTTTAAGAGAAACTTATATCTTACATATCTTGTGCTACTAGTCGATCGTTGTTAATTGAAAGAGAAAAAAACAATTTCGAATTCTAGAATGTATCAGTCCCATGCGCTCGAAATGATCACTATTGCAATTTATTTTTTCTAGTATACATTAACGATCGTTGTGCTGACTTGTCAGATAGGTGTGATACTTGTTTACTCTTACTATTTATTTTTATTATGTAACTGACAAGTTATTCAAAAGTTTTCATTGATTGTAATATTACTCTGTAGTTTGGCTGAAGAAGATCTAAGTAAATACAGATCGAAACGACATTAGGAATCGGATTATTGTGTTTAATACCATCGCTATCAGTAGACAATCGGTTTTTGGGTTCTTTTTTTAATTGTTTTTATTTTTTCTCAGTATCGGAAGACGTGTCTCATAATGCATGTGCGGACACTTGTTTTGTAATCTTATAAAACTCTCGCACCGATAATCATTAAGGAAAGAATATATTTCCGAGAAAAACGCATGATGAAAGAATCGATTAGACTTATGTACAGTAGGGAGCACCATATCGTTCGGCTCCAGGGGAAATTTTTTTCGGGAATTTCTCCTTTGGATGCTCTACTATCGCGCGCTGTTCTTCCGGGGGGAGGAGTGCTCCCTACTGTACATACATGTCTTTCCTTCTCCTTCCGTGTAAATAATTTATATACGCAACTGTGTTCGCTTATGTGCGTATCCCCTCTATTACGGTACGCGGAGGCCGCGCGGATATCTTTCTGATATCACTGCACAACAGTATTCACAGTTTTGGCTTCCTTACAGCATGCTGAAGCGGTGGAAGGGATGCGCACAACAGCAGCGAATTCTACCTGCATAAACTCGCTGCTGTTGTGCGCATCCCTTCCACCGCTTCAGCATGCTGTAAGGAAGCTAAAACTGTGAACACTGCTGCACAAGTGTCGTATTCCGCGATAATATATGTAAATAACTCAGTCGACTTTATAAGCTGTACAAGCTAGTGACACTAACTTCAACCACTTTTATAAGTTATATGTAAGCTAATACTCACGAGCCATACTTTCTCACTGTGTACTAATGAAGAAACAAAGGAACGAAAATATCGTCAAAGAGGTAAAATTACGATTAAGAAAAATGAAAAATATTGCCTGCGCGCTTTGAATGTTTACTCAATCAAATATAACAATCGCGATATATGTCTCTCTGTAGGACCGTCTGACATTCAGAATAGAAAATAATATTCTGATCGGCAAGGAAATACCGATTCGCAAGGAATGTACGAACGTCGGCGCGTTGGCGTTGCAAAGGCTGCGGAGCAGACCGGAATTTGTCGCTCAAGTAAGTAGACACAATCGACTACCGTGAAAGGAGAAGTCGATAAAATTGACTTTCTCGTCGACATATAAAATTCGTCAAGATTCGCCGTTTAATTCTCCGCTCGTATAGGTGGAAGCGGTTACCGGGACAGAGACCACTTTCGCGGAAATGATGGAGAAAAGCGTGAAATGCGCGCTGTGGATGCGAGAGCAAGGTGTTCAATCGGGCGATGTAATCGGCATTTGCACTCACAATCACTTGGAGTCATATGTACCTCTGTTGGCGGCGCTCTACGTCGGCGCCATTAGCCATCCGTGGGACGACGAACTTTCTCCAAGTACGTTTACTTTGATCCAATTCGAGCATTTCTCATGCCGAGATGATATTACCGAAAAATTCGGATTCTCGCGCCAAAAGCAACACTGTAACAATTTTTTTTTGTTTTTTTTTTTAAATCTTTGATCATTAATTGCTTTCATCTAATCACGAATTTGACAGATCAGTATCGCGAGAATGCGAAACAACAGCGAAAACAACGGCGTCGCGTTGCGTGAAAAATTCACGGAAATTTACTTGGTTTTCAGCGACCGCGCGTTACTTCTTCTCTATGACAAAGCCGAAAATAATATTTCTAAATCTCGATTCGGCCGAGTGCATGTCGCGAATTGTCAAGGAGGACAAACTAGATACCAGACTGGTGGTGTTCGATGATTTGGCGGGATTCGAGCGAGCCGAGTCTCTGAAGAACATCCTGCGGTGTCAGGACGCCACCGGGATCGATGAGTTCGAGTGCGCAAAACTGACGAGTCTCGATCAGGTCGCCACGATCGTCTGCTCGTCCGGCACTAGTGGCTTTCCAAAGGGAACCGAGATCAGTCACGCGTCCATGATCAATTACATGACTCACGTCAGAATTCATGATCTCAGAGGACACGTGTCCATGTGGACACCCACCATGCGCTGGTATTGCGGTTTGTTTATCGTCATCAAGGCCATCTTGGACTGCTCCAAGAGGATCATAGTCCCGGATTGCGACGACGACGAGGAACTGTGCCGCTTCATCGAGAAACACGAGGCGAGTGATGGGAAATTAGGAGATGCTAATCGCGCATTAATGACAAGCTGCGGAGTATCGTGTGGCGATAATAAATTATTAAATGATTCGCATGCCTGTCACGTTCGTGTGCGAACAATATCGATTACGTGCGTGCAACTTTAATAAATCCAGTTACAAATATAATTCATACAGTAGTTTTCAGCCACGTGAAAAAAGTTAACTGCAAATTTACGCGACGGAAATGAAATTTAGGTAATATTCGGCGACACATCGCGACTGATTTATCATTTACTTTTCATACTTGCGCGTTATTTTCATTTGACAATATTTTTGCGACTTGGTAAAAGGATATATTTCACGCGATATTGCGCTCGCGCGTTCACGTTAATTTGTGTTAATTTATGTCGCGCGGCGAATTTGCTAAAGGATAACACGGAACCCGAATTGAGGCGCATCTACAACCGGCTGTGATAGTTGTACCGCGTGATTTATTGCCTCGCGCAGGTAATACCACGCGCGCAGGGATACGTTCGAGTTTAACGGCGTCGTTTTGCATTCAGGTATCCTGGTTTAGATGCGATTCCTGCTTCCCCATTCGACTGGTAAAGTTCGACATACTAAGCAAGTACCGACTACCAACATTGAAAATCCTTTTGTTTGGGGGCGCGCATTTCCGCGGAGAGCTGCAGCAGACTCTGGTGGAACTTTTGCCGCACACAAGTGTCATATTGAGTTATGGTGAGTTGCTGAAGACTACTTGCCGCGCGTTATAAGTCGTTATCACGTACACACATATGACGTAGTCGTAGTTTGAATGTTACCCGACGATTAATTATTCAAAAATCCGCAATGCGAGTTCAATTCCGCAAATGTGTATCACACATTTGTATACAATAGATGTATTACGCATAGATACGTGCAAAGAGAGAAATAGCACAATTTTTGTGCAATTTTGTCGGCAGGAATGACGGATTATGGTGGATTATGCGCCCGTCAGACAAAATACAGTAAACCAGGCAGTTGCGGATTTGTCTGCGAAACGGGACGGCTGAAAGTGGTCGATCCTAACACAGGTCAGATCTTGGGGGCCAACAAAACAGGAGAAATACTGGCCAAATCGTCGTACATGATGAATGGATACTACAATAATCCTGAGGCTACCAGGAGCGCAATCGATTCGGACGGTAAGTATAAATAAGATATAGTTTGACACTCATTTCTATTTAGACTTTAAAGAGAAAAAGTGTAGTCCGCGTGACATTAAGCAGAAATTTGGTTGTTACTATCGTCGATTCGTGCTAACAATGAAAATTTACAGAAAACAGAAATAACTTGCACCAATTTCAGGATGGTTACATACCGGTGATCTTGGTTACTACGACAACGACGGCGAAATCTTCCTCGTCGACAGAATGTCGGAATTCATCAACTATAGAGCCATCAAGATATCGCCCGCGGAAATGGAAGCTTTGATTCAGCAACATTCCGCAGTCCTTGAAGTTGCGGTGGTAGCCGTGCCACACGTTATCGACGAAGAACATGCGATGGCCTTTGTTGTAAAAGTACCTGGCAAAGAGGTAATTACATGAATGAAGTAATATTTATAGTACTTTTTATTTATAAATATTATATATAAATGTTTCATTAATGAAATTTTTATAATTTTTTTGTAACACACACACACACACACACACACACACACACATATATATATATATATATATATATATACATATATATCTAAAAAAAGTTATGTGTACCATTTTTGAGATTGTTTCGCAAATAAGATTTCTCGGTTTATATTACACAAATCCTTCGTACTTATTAACTTTTACCGGAAAGAGAATTGGCTTTTTGCGCGCGCGCACAACTGCAATTTACAACAAGTCTTAAGTTCCACCGTCTTGCCCTACATACGTTACATTACAATTTCTCACGTAAATTTCAGACGACGGAACTCGACATAACCGACTTGGTGAAGCGGAACATGCCGTGGTACTGCAGGTTGCATGCGGGAGTTAAATTCATGCAAAAGCTTCCCCGCACGGCCACCGGGAAGATCGCTAAGAAGGAGCTCAAGCAGATCGCTAAGAGTTACGCAACAAATTGAAACGATACGTCGTACTATATGTACCTAAGCTGCCCCATATTAATTTTATACATTTTACATCCAATAAATTAATTTGCACCTAATAGTGTCGATCATTTCTCTTTGTCATTTTTGTAGCAAAAGCATTATCGTTTTATCACATGTTCGTAATTTAGAGGCGCGTGTATTTTATTAGATGATTATCAATAAAATACGATACTACGATGTAGTATCGTGATATACACACATATCGTTATGTTGTTGTTATGATACAGCAATTAAGGCAACATCGGAAAAACATCAGTTTCCGTACGAATTGCTATTTGTAACAATATATAAATGCATTCATCGATCACTATTTATCATATAAATGTGCAAATATTATCGATATAAAGAGATTATTTAACAATAATTTTAGGACAAGTAGTCTTAAAGTAGCTTCTACTTGTTCGTATTATCACAAAAGACAAACGAGCATCGTAAGTCATATAGAAAATACTGCGGCACAAAATATTGTAACAATTTTACAGTTCAAAGTATAACGGGAAAACCTTCGTTGAGAACGTTAGAACGAAACTCAGAAGATTCTTCGAACGTCTTGCTCGTCTATTTTGTCATTTTTGTGAGCGGATTTTCTCATCGCAGGACATTCATGTTACTACGTCGTCCTTATTACGAGCACCGCAATGTAGCTCGCGATATATGCATCAAAAAGAGAAACTCGAGCGAAGCAAGAGCTAGGAGTACGCAATTCTGTAAAATACCATCCGACTCGATTGCCGTGCCGATGCAAGTGGGAGAAAAGAAAAGATAAAAGCGAGTTGTCTCTTTATTTGACTTAGAGACGTAATATGACGCTTGACACTTAGTTGTCATTGTGTACGTAGCTGCACGCTTATTCGCGGATCTTTATTAATTCATATCTTGTTAATTATTACGAATCTTGTAAAGTGGTATAAAACTTTTCGCGCGCGCGACTCAGAATAACTTCTACCTGCCTATGAGCGGTGAGATACGGTAATTACCGGACATCCTGTATATATATATATATACATATATATTAATATACGCGGAAGTAATTCCAATCCAATGAATTATACCCGTCGCGCTTTACATATTTACGTGCACGAATGGCTGATAAACGCGTGTTAAAGTTCTTCATCGTCCATTTACGCATTTGCATAATTAATGCTGAATGCAATATGCCTTGTTGAAACGAAAGAGGAGAAGAGGGAAGACATATAGCCAAATCTCAATTATTAAAATACTTTTGCCGCGCATTATTATATAAACCATATATATCGCCAAACAAAATATCAAATGTGTGTGATATGATATTCTTATTGAAACGTAATCGTTCAACTGTTTTCATATCAGCTTTCTGATCAGTTAAATATAAATAGAATATAGATTCAATAAGATTACTTGTATACATAATGACAAGATATTGAGTACTTTATCTCGATGCAGTAACTGTGTATATTGATGCGTATATAAAATCTTTGAAAATATTTTGAAAAATGTTTACTATAAGCGCAAAAAACGCAAAATTGCGGTTCCGCGCACGTGTAACCGCCTTCAAATGTAAAGCGTTCGCGCGAAACTGCCGCAAAGTTTTAATATTTGCTCTACGGCATGTTTAGCAAGCGCTACGTTTCCTCCGGCCAACAGGGGAAAAACTCGACTAAGTGTTCTTAAGTAAGTACCTAAGCGCGCACGAGGTTCAAAAAGAAGCGCTCTCCGAGATAATTTCGTTCTCACGCCCAGCTTTAAAATCAAAATGGTTCAGCGAGGCCGAATTAAACAAGTCGGATTTAATTAAGTAATTATCCGATGCTGAAACTATAACAATGGCAAAATAAGTTTTGCATCGTGCACAGTCGCCTCTGATTAAGAATTAGATAAGTTTCAGATTACATTTTTTTGAATGACAATATTATAATCAATCTTCTTCAAGATAAATTTAACAGCTGACGAGCAGGCGCCAAAAACTCGATGGAATCGATACAGACAAAAAGGACGGATTTGATAAAATTGTAACTTAAATTAATAAGAAGATAAAAGCTTGTCGAGTTTTACGAAGTCAAATGTATTTTTTTTACATAGATAATTTTGCAAAGAATATTTGTAATAGATATAACAAGATCACGTTTCAGTCGCGCGATCGAAACATTTGACGCGTGCAAATATGCGTAACATGTGGAAGTCGATTGTGTATCGCAAAACCTAGTGAAAATCACAAAAATACACTTTTGCTTGATTGGGTAATTTTTATCATAGTAAAAATGCGATATTTTTCACGTAAGATTAATAAAAAAGTTTACGTTGAATTGTGTTTAAGTATCGTATCAAGCAATAATTGTTTTAATGAGCAATTGATATTGCATTTTTACTTTTATCATAACCAATCGCGTGTATTTTTTCATGTGAAATAAAAGTACAAAAAGTGAAAACATTCGACAGAGATACAAAATCGTGCTCTGATTTAAGGAAAATTATCTCCTCGCTTGCTTTTGTTGCGGGAAAGAAACATGATAACTGCGGAGCAAGAATAAGAAGCTAGGAGATCGTAGAGAGAAAAAGAGAGAAACAACTTAGCATAGTCACAAGTGTGAAAAATATGAAATTTCACAGCGTCGAGAAAGATTCACGTCCGTTTGAATGAAAATTTTTTTCTCTCTCTCTCTCTCTCTCTCTCGTGAGCCGACTCTTCATAATCTCTGTGGAAACTTACCGCAATATCTATCGCGAATGTGCGATTCTATTGTGACAATAACAGCGATAGCGGCGCAAACGGCGATAAGATGCGAGATAACAAAATGGACAGAAGCACAACACATCTCGCGAAGAGAATTAGCATTATATTAACAACTTTTGAAAAAACAAACAAATTTGTAACATGTGTTCTGATAAAAACTGCTTTGTTACTGTTTTGATGTTGAATAATAATTGAGAAAAATACTATCAATATAATTGTTTGACACATTATTGACACATTATCAATAATCATCGATAAGTTACAAAATAATTTTTACACACTGTTAAATTATAATTAATGCAATTTTCCAACAGCAAAGCTATTGATGAACAAAGCATGTGTTCTCAGATTTCTCAGATGTCAAGCAGTACGATAATTGTAAATTATTCATATGAAAATATATATCTTGATAAGCGTTTATGTATTTATGTAATTGCGTGTTGTAGTATGTTTGTGTACATATTCATTATAAATTTATATTATAATTAAAATAATTAAGCGATTTCATTGAATAGAGTTTTTAATCGATGACATTGACACACCTAAACTATTTATGTTAAGCAAATTATTTTTCTGATTAGTAAAAATTAAATGTACATATCTTAAAAAAGAAATACATGTTTATAATGAGTTGTTTAAAATAGCTGCAAGACACGAACAAACTTTTTAGCGATTTATTGTTTTAAGTTTATAAATTCGGACAATTCGTGAAAAATGTTTTGTTTTATTTACAGCACAATGTTTTACAGTGTTTTAATTGGTCGAAAAATATCAAATTTGCTTGGTTTTTTGCGTGCTATTACAAAGAAGCAAGTGGATTTTGCGTTTTACGCGCCTCGTGTGGGCGTTACTTGTGAGTCGACCGGTTCGTCGCAAGCGCGACGTGTCCGAAAACAACATTTGTCAACGTTATCAGGACAGCAGACAGTAGAAGCTCGCGAATGTAGCGGAAAAATTTCACCGTTACGCGGACGCGATAAATTACTGTGGCGTCGAATCGACGCGATGCATATACGAGGCCTTCCGGTTTCGGTAAGCGTATTTTTATCGCCCGATGCAAATGCATTCTGCAAACCGCCAAATGGGAAACTCCCGCGACATCATACATTTATTATGCCGGCGTCGCCCAGCGACGAAAATTCTCTCGAATAATCCGATGCGCATACTTTTCAGCGAACAGGTAATGTCTCCGACATATTAAATATTTACAACAGAGAATTGGCACTAGTACATTTCATTGATGTGATTGAAATGAATGTCGATTTAATGACGCAATTGATTAGTAACTGGAGGTGGAATATCGATAAAAGCCTGACGCGGGAACTAACATGTTCTTGTTGGCGTCGCGCAACGATCAATCTTTTATAAATATCTACGAGACCTATCTATGATGAGACAAGAAGCTGATAAACCGGTAAGTCGCGATACTGATTGACTCGTCAAAATGGCGTTTGCATCATTGAAATAATCATCACGGTGTATTTATTTGCTTTTTTTTTCTAGTACGTACCGTTGTTCAGAATCGAGAACAATGTACTGATCGGCGTGGAGGAAACGTATCCAAAATGCACGAACGTTGCGCAACTGATTCTCGATAGATTGAGAAGTAAGCCGGATTTTGTCGGACAGGTAGTGTTGCAATGAAAATCTTATAACAGATTAGGATCGCGTAACTCTGTGTAAACTTCGATTAGCTCGGCAAAATATAGCAAAAATAAACAAAATGTCTAATTTTTTGCAGGAATATTATTAATAACAAAATACAATAAACATATAATTAACAACAAAAAATTGTTAACTGACATTATATTATTCAGAATAGAAAAAAGATAAATACAGACACGTAAAATTAATGTACATATTCATTTTGGCTCAAATTTCAAGAAATTTATGTGCGGCATTGTTTTAGGTAGAAACTATCACGGGAAAAGAAAGCACATATGCGGAAATGGCAGAACAAAGTATCAGGTGCGCTTTGTGGTTAAAAAAGAACGGCATTGAGAAAGGTGACAAGATTGGCATATGGACTGATAATCACTTAAACACGTACATACCAGTGATAGCAAGCTTGTACATTGCCGCCATAATCTGTCCTTGGGACCATGATGTATCGAAAAGTACGGCATGCTTTACATAAATATCTTTGTTTCTCTAAACCTACAAATAAATAAATAAATAAATATATATATATATATATCGCACTTGTACAATTAAAAGTATAATTACCAAGTTAACTTCTACAAAGAAATTGTTTTAAGTTATATATATTTTAGTGTCCGCACGATATTGTCTATCGCTGACATCTCCGAAGATAGTATTTGTGAATGCGGCGTCCGCCGAGAATTTGATGGATGCCGCAAAAGAAGAAAATCTCAAAGTGAAAGTTGTAGTTATCGGCAGTTTGCCAGGATTCGTATCTCTGGCGGATATTCTTGAAGATCAAATTGACTCTTCGGAGATTGACGAATTTCTTTGCAGTGAAATCGACAATCCTCGCGATTTAGCAATGATCTGTAGCTCTTCCGGTACAACAGGTATGCCAAAAGGAACAGAACTATCGTATGTGTCTCTCTACAACAGTGTTACTCCTGTCGAAGAGATTCATTTAAAGAACGAAGTGTCATTATGGCTTCCCACTATACGGTGGCATTACGGCTTGACTTTGATTATCGAAGTTATTCTCTCCAATTCGAAGAGAATCATTATACCGGATAATCTCAGTGAGATCGAAATATGTAAGGTTATTCAGAATCACGAAGTGAGTATCACAATTAAATATTGTATAATATAAAAAAAACATAAAACGTTTTAATAAAAAGTTTTAACTAATTATCGGACGCAAACGTTGAAATTAATAATTTTACAATGCAAGAGTCTGTCACTAATTTCGGATTCTTTGTTGCATCTACGTGCATTCACATTTCTGCAAAACGTAAATGCAAGTGTTTATTAGAAACTCTATCTACTTTTTCTTAACTTTTTATTAACATGTGTACAATAGACATGTTTATTTCCAATTGTTTGTGTTCCACTATTCCTATCAGAGAGTGTCTAGTATTAAAGTTTAATTTTTCTTCTTTTATTCATTTATACTTATTTGCTTTATTATTATTTATACACACAGAGCTATGCGCTCTTAGAAAAACAAAAGATTTTATTTTCAAGTATATTTTCTGTTCAAAGTTTATTAAAATAAAATTTTTACCATTGTACAAAGAGATTTTTAGTTCTCAAGGAAATGGTTGCACATTTTTATTTATATCTTTTAGTTTAGTATCACAATAAAACATATATCTTGCTCTAATAACTCGATTATATTTGCAGGTAACATGGTTCGGATGTGATACGTGTTTTCCATTACGTTTACTCAAATACGATATTTTACAGAAATATCCTTTGACGTGTTTGAAAAAGCTTGTCGTCAGCGGCGCACCTTTTACAAAGAAAATGCAGGAAGCCGTTGCAAAAATGATGCAGCGCACCCAAGTGTTGCAATGTTACGGTAAGATAGTAAAAAAATGTAAAGAAACGGCATAAAGAGACGATAATAAAATATCTCGAATAGATAATATTCCGTATAATAATCTCTTGTTCAAAGAGAGAAAGTTTCTTTCTTGTATTTCAAACTTCTATTTTGCATATTTAGGATTGACAGATGCCGGAGGATTGTGCGTGAGTCAGACAAGAACTAGCAAACCGGGTTCTTGCGGCTTTGTAATTAGAGGAGTACGAATAAAGGTGGTAGACGAAAAGACCGGCGAAACTGTAGGAGTTAACAAGATGGGTGAACTTTGCATAAAATCGGAGTTCTTGATGAACGGCTATCATAAAAATCCACAACAAACTAAAGAAGTTATTGATTCTGACGGTCAGTGACGTTTGTGATTGCTATACATCTATGTGATGTAGAATTACAGTCAACGAGTTATAATTATACATGTGTACAGGATGGTTGCATACTAAAGACATAGTGTACTACGACAAAGATGGTGAGATTTACTTCGTAAGCAGGATTTCCGATTTTATTAACTACGGAAGTATCAAATTGTCACCGGCGGAAATAGAGAGTGTGCTCGAACTTCATCCTTCAGTTCTCAATGCCGCGGTAGTTCCAGTGCCACATGAAACAGACGAAGAACATCCGATGGCTTTCGTTGAGAAAGTAGCTGGAAAAGAAGTACGACAATATTGCGCATCATAAAATATATATCAATTAAAGTGACAAAAACGTAGTATGTTTTATGAACGCTTGTACAAATATTTTTATAGACAACAAGTACAAGAGTAAATTATTTTACAGGTAACAGCAGAAGAATTGCATAGTCTAGTGGAAGAGAATTTACCGTGGTATTGCAAACTTTTAGGAGGAGTTGTATTTTTGGACAAAATGCCGCGCGTCACTACTGGAAAAATTGATAAAAAGCGACTAAAAATAATGGCAAAAAGTTACGTTAGTTAAATAAATTAAAAATTAATAAACTATATACTTTAACTTTATAAAGTAAAAAATTAAAAATTAATAAATTACAAATTGATTAAATACTACAAAAACTTTTTTCTTTATAAGACTTGTTTTACAAAATTAAATAATACTACAAAATACAAAATGTGCGATATCTCGAAAAACTTACCTTTTCAAAAAAAGGTAAGACTAGGCGCCAAGTACACGCACAACACGTATTGTATTCAAATTAATACATTAAAAATTGATTTAATACTACAAACAATTCTTTTTCTATAAAACCTGTTCTACAACATTATATACTACAAAACATTTTTTTTTACTACAAAAACTTTTTTCTCTAAAATGGTTTTACAAACTACAAAAAGTTCTTTCTCTTTTTATAAAATTTGATTTACAAAATATTATTTACTACAAAACATTTTTTCTCTAAAAACATGTTTTACAAAAGAAGTAATATCTAAAAGTAGCACCAAGTAAACTTTCGTACGTTATTATAGTGAAAAACAATATACAATAGAAAACAATATTGAATAGAAATACAGTTTGCAATAACATACTTGTGTCAAAAGTAAGACTATGCCTTACCTTTTTTCCGTTATTATATACTACAAAACATTCTTTCTCTAAAGACTTGTTTTATTGTCGAAAAACAATATACAACAACATAATTGTGTCCATAATAAGACTACGCTTTAACTTTTTTTCCATGTGATTATTAATAACTAATTCTAAGTACATAACTATGTACTTTGGTAAGATTATATTTATTACTAGAACATAGAAATGTAACAAAAGAAAAACTTTTTTCAAAATATAACAAATATTCCAAAAATACTCTGCGCGGCTGCTTCTCAGCTATAATGAAATTATTTCTTTGTGCGGCAGTCTGATGCAGCCGTTTTTGTAGTATTAAATTAATTTGTAATTTATTTAGTTTTTATTTTTTATTTCATATATATTACGGTAAGGTAACTGACTTCGGTCACTGACCTCGATCACGTGACTGCGGTGAAGTCAATAACCTCGGACACGTGACTGCGGTGAGGTCACTGACCTCGATCACGGCATACAAACATGCACACAATTTGATGGCACGATGTTTCTGAATCGGAAATTTTTTACTACAAAACTTTATCGTCGTATATCTCGAAAAATCAGAAACAACAAAAACGCAAGAACATTTTTTTTAAATTTTTTTAACGTGAATCAAACGAGACTAAAAAGAAGTCGATCGGTTCAGTCGTTATTAAAAAATGGCTGATTAAAAATCTCTCCATGAAATGATTTTCGCGTATAAGAGGCACAGTGTGCTCGCGCAGTTCGAGCGTCACTTCGTTGGACGTGAACTTGGCGCGAAGCACTATCGTGTCTCTTGATTAAAAAAAAAATAAATAAATAAAAGAAAGATCAACGTGAAAAAATAGACAGGATTATAAAACAAAAAATAACTAGGTAGCGCGAGTTGTAAGAATGCGAGAGCTGAAGGTATAGAACACATAACGGAGACGTAATAGAAACAGCTGGTGGAAGAGCTTACTGCGATATCCATAAAATCAAGCCATTAAGATCCTGTTCAACTGGAAGCTTGCAGCAGCAATAGTTTGTATCTTCATCGCGAGTAATGTCTCTGCCAAGGCGACAAATCGATATTTCAAGAAATACGGAATGTGTATGTGAGAGAGAGAAAAACAATACGCGCTCGACGTCTCGATTTGATTATCCGCGTGCTAGTATTTTTTCACGTATATTTTCTTACTGAACATTTATTGCTATGTAATTGTACATTTTAGAATATCAATAAAACCATGTAATTGTAGAAGAGCCATTTACACATCGCCTTGTCTATATCACTTTTATTCGGAAAGTAATATTTATTTAACGTTCTTGCAAGTGTAGTTTGTAAGAAAACGCGTAGTTATTTTTGAAAGTCAAACTTCTGTATATTGTTACTTTCTCTGCCTTACACTTTAGCAACAATCTAGCGCTTGTGCAAAAATGATACAATTGTGCGCTATGTGAGAACAGTATCACTGTAATGCATACAATTTTTAATGTATGTACTTCAAAATCATAACATCTTGTGAAAGAAGCAATCAAAATGTATATTAACCGTTATAACAGGTAAGTGAAAATTAAAGCGGCATAAAAAACGTTTTAAAACGTTATTTAAACATTGACACAAAAGTATGTTTTAACTAAACTATATTTAAAATGCAAAGAGAGTAAAGTGAAAAAACAGCGTTTAAAGCAATTTGTAAAATATTTTACAATTTAGCTATGTAGCGGCAATATTACGATAATGATGCAAACATTTTCCTATTTGTCAATAGAATATCCGAGTTTATTAATTTCTACGGCGTGAAAGTCTCACCGTGGCAATCGAAAAGATTTTGGAGACTCACTCTGTGGGGTATTCCAAGTGGTCGTAATAGGAATACCCAACGAAAGTTCAGAGCTTGTAATGGCTGTCGTTTTTCTACTGCTAGATAAAACGATAATTATTACGAGAGATATTTTCATCTACAGTGCGCGCGAAAAAAAAAACAACCATATAATCATATCATTTGTGATTCATAGCTTGCTATGCCGCGCCGCAAACATCATATTCACCGTTCAAATGTTTCACTTACAGGTTACGGAGAAGGAGTTTCACAAGAGCTTCTCGAAGAAAAACTTACCGGAACTTTACCAACTCCACGGTGGTGTTAAGTTTCTCGATGAACTACCGCGCACGGCTACTGGCAAAATCGCGAAGAAGCAACTGCGAGATATGTTTGCGAAGTAAAGTGTACCGTCCTGTCTATATAGCGGTGAAGAAAGCGGATCGTGGATAAATCGCATTTTTGCCAAAACTCTAAATTTTCCAGAAATGTGCGTTTATATTAATATTCAACTTCACGCAATATACTATTGTTCTATATTGGAAAATTTTAAACATATATATATATATATATATATATGTATATTGTATATATGTATATTTACTTGTATATATGTATATCTACTACTAAAACTAATTGTGTAAAAAAAAATAATTTAAGCCGACACACAACACACTGTGTCTTATATTTAAGCAATAAAATATGTTTTAAATGGAGATAAAATTCTTTTGTCGTGCCGTTCTTATCTTGATTTTAACATATTAAATCAACTCTATAAATTATCGATCAATCATCAAAATTGATTCCGAGTGGTTCGAGAAACTTCCTGTACATCGCGTTCTGTTCACCATTTCTAAGAATGGAAATTGCTTTTCAATTTATTCTCTCAAAGTCTCCGAAAGACGAGACATCTTCAACAGGTATAAAAGATCCGCAGAAGCAACAATACTTTTCCGTATCTAGGTGCGTTGTGCGCCATTTTTGAATTTCGCTAAGGAAAAGAGTTACTTCCCACTAATGCTTCTCGACGGCATGCATATTTATTATTCGCGAGTCGAGAGATGGAGATTCACCATCTTTCAGATTTCAGTGTACCTCGTCTAGCGTCGAGCCGCATGTGCGCACAGGTTTCTTCTTCTTCCCTCATCTAGCTATTCTAGTAATTTGTAATAAACTTTAAGAAAGCAACCCGATCTCAAAAAACAAATACTCACATATATACCTGAGAGAAGTTCAGAAAAGAGATCTGATGAAATTCATTTTTCGAATAACGCAAACGCGAATGATCTTTATCTAACATAAATATATTGTTTTACAAATATTACGCTTCATTGAGAAGAAGTTAATATCTTTCATATCTACTCTCTGACGTAAAGAGAGAGGAGGGCGAATCAAATTATTGCTAGTTTAATATTGTTTTTATCTGACAATACACGCACTGCCGATATTAGTAGCGCCGCTTTTATTATTCTTCGGATCATTTCTCTTTTTTCGATTAAATTCCTTTAAGACGTTTTCAAGGTTCGTGTGTGTGTGTGTGTGTGTGTTTTGCTCTTTTATTGATACAAACGAACCAACCGTGAACTTCGTTTTCGTTGTTTTTTCTTCTCTCGTTCTGTGCCGAACGTCAACGTAATATTTGTTGCAGAAGAAACGTGACAATATACATTCAATAGAAAATATTTTCCTAATACATACGTTACGGAATTTTTTACCGTTCTCCCTTATACATTGCGTGTGGTTAGGACTACTTTTTTTGTTTTAACTATTACAGGCAAGAAAGTAAAAACATGTGTATAGAGATATGCATATTACGTCTTTCAGTCTAACGAATTTCGCAAAAACTATCTGTAAAACTTTTGTATTTTTCTCATGTTTCTCTTCTCTTTGGTCTAATATACACATTGCACAAGCATTCGCGACTAACTCACGCATGTATCCAGGTGCTGCTTGTTGAAACGAGCAGCGAGAAATATATACGCGCGACGGTAACACACTTTGTGTGTTGTGAATAATTTCACAAAAATATATAATATTCTCGATAGACTTAATGAAAATCTCGCGGTCCGATGTTTAATTTCCGGTTTTTTTCGAACTAATTTTTCGCGATGCTTTCGAGCTTATTTTAATGCAGCAAATCAGTCGGTTTTAACGCAAATCTACAAGTCGCTTTGTAGAAAGACAAAAAGTGCAGGCAAACGTGTTGATTAAAAGAAAAACTTTTTCTTTTTTTGCAAATTTAGTCAATAAATTCTTGATTGATAAATAATCTAAAAAAAAAAAAAAAGAAAAACAACAGCAATTATACTTCAACTCTCTTTGAACCAAGATTGCAGATATGTCATGACAAAAGTCGTAACTATGAAGTTAAAAGTTTTCAAAGTATACGCAGATCACCAACAAACTAAGCGTTGGACTGTTAAATATTCATACGGGCCCCGTCTACGACGCCATTATAATATAGTCTTAGCTAATTCAGCTCGTTATCGCCGAGAACCAGTTCGAAGTAATTCCGGCTCAGCGAGTCAAGATGACTTCGCTCGACTATTACGACTCCGAGGACCGGGAGAAACGCGCGAGACGGCGATTACATCGCGCCTCACATCCGCGAATTCGAATCTCGAAAAGA